AGAGAGGAAGGGCTTCAGGTAATTTTTGTCCATCAATTTTGTTATGTGGTTTGTTCTAATCATGATAGGTAACATAAATCCTACCTTTGTTTTTAGAGAATTTGTGTTTGGTGAATTTAATCTCTCCCCAATTGATAAAAATATATTTTCTCTTGATTTATCAATTTTTTTTTCGTGTAACTTTTTATATATGATAACATATAATTCTTATGAGTACTTTGATTATAATATTATTGAATTTCATAGGGTAGATTGATTATTATAATTTTATGAAGTTAATACATAGTGTACATAATTTCTTGCATTTCATAGATTACATTTCATCCATGATATTGAAATCCATAGAGGAAATGATACAACTGATATATGATAAATATAACATTTGTATATAAGTAAAGAAGGATGGTCGTTGTTAATATTATAATTAATATAAGTTGGCTATTAAAATATAATACCATGTACTAGACGATGAACCGATAATGTTTCTTTTAAAATGAAAGGTTTGTGATGCAATCATGAATGAAATGTTAGCTTGTAACTAATTGGGTCGACGAGTAGAGAGTGATGACTCTTAATGATTTACTGAAAGTCACATATGAACTAATTTAAGATCTATGAATGATGATGGCAAAATATAATGATGATGGAAAGATAAAATGGTGATGGTAAGATAAAAGACTGATGACCAACTAGTTGATAGTTGAGACTAATGATGTTGAAAATATCATATTAAAGTTGAATGTTCTGCCTTACTATTCATAATTGTATTTATATGATAACATATGAACTGATTGATAGATAAAACTGATTGAACTAATATTAAAATTGATACAATATGATATAAAATATGACATATATACTTATAAACATTGATAAACATATTGATATAATACATTAGTATGACACATTGATAGATGTGGACACATGACATATCACTAATAGAGAACATATTGTGATGCCATAGAATCTGATTTGAAAGAATTATTCTTTTAATCTTTTAATAAGTAACAACTAGAGCTATCTAATATCATATATCAGTAATAAATAACAAAACATAATCTATAATTCAAAATATTAATATACACATCTATATTCATTTCTAAAAATCTTATATATTATTCAGAATCCATATAATCATATCACAATTACTCTGTCCTAAGTAAAAAATAATTAAAAAAATAGAACCTGAAGAATCCTGATCAGCCTCACACTCCTGTTCACCTATACTGACCTGAAATCATTTAACCATATATAATGAGCTTAAAAGCCTGACAGATCACCAAAATTTACAATTGAAATTAAAGCACGATAAAAGAATGATATGCATGTCAACAATCAAATTATAATATTTAAATTCATATAATTATTGAATCATTAAAGAAATAGTAAAATTCACATGTATTAGTAATATAATCTATATATAATAAAATATTACAGTATAAAAGATAATAAAATAATAAACTAATATGAGTGTCAAATCTATAAAGCAATCATCATATCCGTAATACCATTCAATATACAAATTATATAAAGCATCAAATCAAAACATCGACAAAGATTATCAAAATTAAATCAATATAATAAAATCATATATAAATGTATATATGCTATTCAGACATTATATATCACGAGTTCATTATATCACATGCTTAATATTAATATAGTGAATCAGTAGTATTAAATAATATCAATATTTAAATCAATAATAATAATAATCTAGTAGCATCAATAATATTATAATACAATAATAATAAATTTGAACAGTAATAATAAATACATACAATAATTATAATAATACCTCAAAATATGTATTTTAGTAGTTACACTAAATAAGTAAGAAGTCCTGGCTATCATAATATTTTTTCAGTAATAGTATCAGTATTATTAAACCATTGGCTTAGTAGATAGAGTCGTCAGTATTTACTTATAGTTATAGTAATAATCTCTTTATAACTCCCAATCAGTGTATCACGTTAATTAGTACATGATAACATCAAATCATAATGTTTAAAGGAAAGCTTATCGGCTCACCATCTTGTACACCAATCAATCTCCAATCAACGGGTCAACTAATCTTTACTTGTTTGTTTCACACTTGTTTGTTTCACACACATATTTTTATCATAATACTATAACAGTAAAAACAATCATTTATTACTCAAGTACCTATTCACATCTATTTTCAATGCATTACATTAAATAATATATAATTGAGCTTAATTAAGAAGATGTCAAAATATCATAGATGTAGACAACAAAGAATCATATTAGGCAAGAAAATGCACATTTTTTTAAAAAAATATCAAAATATAAAAAATTGTATAAAATGATGTTTTAAAACTTTTATTGTACTATATTACTATTCTTAGATGTCAAAATAAATTTATGGGTACGCAAAAATTACTATATTTTTAAAATCACATAGTGAAAAATCTCAAATAAATATTCAAAATGCTCATAATTATGATCTCTATAACATACAAAAAATTACGCGGTGGAAGTTTTACCAATACAAAATTATTCATATTTTTTGATAACGGAAACACAAATTTGATCAGAAAAATATTAAAAATACAAAATCTTTGAAATCAGAAATATGATAAAGGTTCCTTACAGCGATACGAGTAAATTTTCCAACTGTCCCGACTGACGAAAATCAATCTTTGATATCCAAATCTTAACTTTTTTTTCTCTCTTATCTTTTCTCTCTAATATATATCACAATCCATTTCATTGTTTCAGCCGAACGAAGAAAAAATGAATGGTTTTAATTAGGGCTGCAAGCGAACCAAGCGTTCGGCGAGCTACTCGTTGTTCGGTTCGATTAAAGCTCGTTTGCGTTCGTTTAATTAATTGAACAAACAAACTTGAACAATATTTTAAATACTCGATTCTTAAATAAACAAACTTGAACACTAATGCGTTCGGAATAAGATATTTAAAGATATTTTTAAATAATATAATATAATTATTTAATATAACTATTTAATGTAATTAATTTTTCAATATAAATTTTATATAAATTATTTTAGGCTTTAAAAATTATAGAAAATAGCCATAAAATAAATCATTTTATTTAAAAAAATATTAGTGAAATCGGTTTGTAAATCGAACACCTACGGTCTCAAAATCCTCACTTGTACCAACATGTGCCAATTTCTTAAGGATTTTCATCGGCATCCAAAAATATGAAAAAATTTGTGCAAGTAAAATACTATAAGAACAACACTATGACAAAGATGGTTTTCGATTTGGAGTTATATTGTCTATCGATAAAATTATTTACTTGGGTTAAAATACGGGTTATTACACATATATTATAATCATTGACATAAATATAATTGAGAAATAATCGAAATATATTTTATAGTACGACACCTGACATTGCTTTATACAATTTTATTGATTTTCTTATATGTTAATAGATTCCTGTGTTTCTTGAAATGCTTTTAGTTTACTGATCATTTTTATTTTTATTAATTTATTGGTATTGATTGTTGATTCCATACAATTGCAATTGATTTTATATTGATTGAGATGAGTATGCATATTAATATTATTGCCTTGCATTAGAAGTTTTGGTAGTTTTGGTTGCCGGCTAGGCTTTGTAAGCATATTATATCTATTTTATTTATTCTAGGTTTAAGGTGAGGATCAGTTGAGTGCGATTGATTAAAATCAGACTTGCATGTTTAATTTATTATAATGTATTTTGTTACTCTTATGTAGGGGTGTCAATTATTGATCCGACCCGATAACCCAACCCGAACCCGACCCGAAAAATCCGGGTGCGGGTCGACCCGTTTAACAAACAGGTCGGGTCCGGGTCTCAACTTTTGACCCGTTTAAAAAAACGGGTCGGGTCCGGGTCAACCCGGTAACCCGAAATTGACCTGTTAACCCGCTCATTTTTAATTTTCCCTCTTCGGATTGGGCTAGTCGGTCACGTCGCGTCGTCACCTGGCCTAGTCGGTCACGTCGTCTGGCACTGGCCGTGTCAACATCTCGAGCTCCTCGCCGCATCGCCTCAGGCGTCAAGCCCTCAGGCCTCAGCTGCGTCTGCCTGTCCAGCGTGCAAACCGTGCTGGCGTGCAACATCTCGTCACGCCGATTCACGCGGTCACGGACTGGCGGAGAGTCGGAGACGAACTCACCGCATAGGCGTTCGCTCTGGCAGTTCCCGCACCGACCTACGAACGCCGAGACGCGCCTCACAGTCGCCGTCTCGCCCTGTTTTTGAATCAAACAGGTCTGCGGGTCGGGTCGGATCAACCCGGGAACCTGTGCGGGTCGGGTCCAGTTAGCTAAACGGGTCGGGTTCGGGTTGACCCGTTTATATCCGGGTCAAGTCGGGTTCGACCCGAATCCGACCCGTCGACCCGAATTGACACCCCTACTCTTATGTAAGTAGAATGGTTGTTATTAATGAATGTTATAGATTAAACTTTTGATTATTGTATGTATATTTTGATTAGTAATGTATATGTTGGCAGATGATATGATATACATATGTTTTCATTATTTTGATTAATATAAAATGAAATTAGCTGCTCAAGTAGATTAATTAGAAGATAAAAAGATGAAATTATTCTAATTTAGGTCTTAGGGCATCACAAATATGCTATCATACTTTATGTCTACATCCTATATTCACGAGAAAGAAGTTATGTAAAAGAAATGAATAATAAGTCTTATCGGGGTATTTTAAATGTTTTTAACTTTTACTTTGCATTCATTTTATTTTACATCAAACATGCAAACTTTTTATTTTACACTCATGTTGCATCCAATAAAAAAACTACTATATTGCTCACATTGAATTTTATCAAATTTTGAATGTAAAAAAATTTCATAAATATTTAGCTGCAAAAATGAGCCAATTTTTAATTGATTCACTTTTTAAGTTTCAACTCAAAATGACTTAGAATATATACTGATTGTTTTAAAATTAGTTCTTTGAAGTTGCTCAGCTTGAATTGATTTGATTTGAAGAACTCATCGAAGTCGAAGATGAAATTTACAGACTTAGCCCAATTTAAGACTTTTTTTGGTATCCGGTATAAAACAGATAGCAAACGGCAAATATCTAGGGTTAGGGTTTAAGTGAAGTAAGTGAATTAGGTAGGGGTCCGCAAGAGGTATTCGTCCGTTGTCTGTTGACTTCTTCGGAGATCTTTCATGGACGCTGCCTACTGGATGCGCCAGCCTCTTCAGCCATCCGCTGCTCCGCCGAAGCGACATCGCACTGAAATTGGTACCCTTGAAATCTTTCCCAAGCTTTTTCTCGTCCCTAGTTTTTACGCAGCCTTGTTGTAATACCCGAATTACTAGCTTTCCATGACAGTACTGTGTTAAGAATCTTAACTAGCGATTCACTCTCGGAAATCTCATCATACAAAGCATCAGATTGCTGTTTTTTCCTTATCTATTTATGCTGTAGATCGTGTAAATCGTAATAATAGGTGCTTTGGAGTATGGACCAATGTGCATTCTACCTCAATATCCCTCCTCATTGGAGCAGCGAACCCCTTCAACACTTTTTTCTACAAAATATTAAGTAAAAGCCAAAATTGGTATTTTGCATTTTGTAATGATTTTTTTGATGTACTTTAATAATATTTGACATCTCCAAATGTCTATGATTTTATAAATATAAAATACAATTATAGTTACAAGAAAGTCTCTTGCATGTTTGCATGCAAACTAGTTATGATCTGTCCATTTAGCACAGCTTAAAAGTATGTTGTAGCCTTCTGATGCATCTATCCATTGTTGCTTTGCTTTATGAACTAAGAAAATGTTATTCTCTTTGATAATCTAGTTATATCATCTATTTTAATCACTTATTTTAGTCATTATTTAAATCTTTTACTTTGCCAGAAAAATGTATTCTCTATGCATATATTTGATTCGCCATGCATATTTAGTTAATTCGTCTTCATTCTAAAGTAAATATGGCATAAGTTTATGAATGTCCGAGAAACCATTGCTCATAAGATAAGAGTATAATTGAGCGATTTTATATTTCTGCTAAATTTTTTGAATTATTAAGTATGTCAGAGCTATCGATCTGAATTCTTAACTATTGAATCTAACTAGATTTCAGAAGGAATTGCAAATTTCTTTTTATTTAAAGTTGTGGAAGTGGATATAGGTCTAGTTAAATGGATTGATAATATTGTCTTCCTTGAGCAGTTCATGTTTAATATTCTAATGCTTTGGTCTATGCTCAAGTTACAAATGATTCCTTTTCTTTTCTTTACAAGAGGTCCTTTGTCCATGTCGACTGGTAGCTGGAGTATTCAACTCCATATAATGGTTAAAATGTTATTCTTATCAGCTTGGAGTTTGCTTAGGATTCAAGTATTCAACTTCAGATTTGAATTTGAGTAATATATATAGTTGATCTCAATCAAACTATTAGCATGTGCTATTGTTTGCAATAGCTAAGAACTGTTCACAAATGCTTAAGTTAATGGTTAAACCAAAAGTTAGTATATCAACGCTAGGCTTCTTGCTCTTTCTTTTGATCTCTTTTGCTAGATTCCCTTCATTTGTCATCCTGACAAGTGCGGTAGATTTTCTTCCTTGGAGACTTCCTAAGCTTTGTTTTGTTGGACTGTTTAATTTGTTGATTATAATACATAAATAGTGTAGATACTTCATTCCCATAGCTATTATATTAGAATTAGCTGTCATGAAAATCAGCTAGCCAAATGACAAACATAATCATAAAGTTTTATTATATTTGATATTCATTGTTTTGGCATTCTTTTGATCTGGTTGCCTAAACTATATAAAGTAATAGGCATGCAGGTGATGTATGGCTTTGTTATTCTTCTAACATTTGCAAGTTATTCTATTTATCTATTAAGTTGTCATCTGTTGCATGATACTCTGTATTCTTCAACAGAAGTTGATTTGGCACCAAAGTAGATGGTTGAATTATTTATATGATGATTAAGTAAATTGTCATGTTAAGAGTCAATAGTCCGAAATGCATATGAAGACTAGGGAACCTTGGTGGAATTAAGGTTGTTTTACCTGGAGATTTCTTTTAAGACTGCTATGTTACATAAAAAAATTGTGTTTCATCGTGCATGCATTGGAGTGTGAAGCTAACTAGAATGACTATAAGACCTAGTTTTGCATATGTTTGGTGAACAGCACTTTGAGGCAGTTAAAAAAAAAGAACACTGTGAGGCAGTTGAAGATGATAACTCTTATTTGACTATGGATAACTTGTAATAATTCTTGCGCAAAATTGTTAAGAAATATATTGAAACCATGATTATCCAAAATTTCAAGTTGCAATGAGGTTCTTAAACCCATTGAGGTTATGTAGTTGTTTTAATCCAAGTTTTTCTATGCATGAACTGAATTTTTATGCATTTTGCTTTACATGTTGATGTCATTTGAGAGGAAAAGGAACTATTTTCTATGATAACTGTTGAAATCCAGCCGTTCATAGTACAAAGGATCCGACGGACACAAAGATCAATCAGTGGGATACTCTCATGGATTACGCCATAATGAGGGAACGAATTTAGGAAAGATTTTATTTTCTTATTTGTGTATTAAATCTGCAATTTATTATTTCCGCATTAGGATATCTTATATAGATCTATAAATAGGGAAGATTGTAATGATTAAGAACAAGCTTTTCCCTCTCAAATCCCGGCTTATAACATGGTATCAGAGCCCGGGGCATAAATCGCCGCTGATCCGCCGGACAAGACGAGCTACTCGATCGGAACTTCCGATTGGAAATTCTGATCCGAGAGGAAAACCGACGAAGGAGCGAAGGCAGTCGCTCGACCCGCCCCCTCTTCCAATCCAGAAACTCGATCTCGCAGGCCGAAGGAGCGAAGGCGGCCTGACGAAGCTTGGCGAACTGACGGAAGCCGAAGTCGCAATCGTGCCAGAGAGACGAGCTGAAGAGGCGACTCGTAACCTGATCCAAGCTTCCAATCCGACGGGAGGAGAGTCGAACAGCCACGAACTAGCCAAATAGGTGGAGCTCGTGTGCGGTTCTTCCTTCCCAGGCAAAGCGGAGCTTGTGTGCAGATCGCCGAAGGAGGAGAGTCCAACAGCCACGAGTGAGCCAAGTAGGCGAACCGTGAAGAAACAAAGCCACCCAATTTTTTTTTCTAGAGAAGCCGTCCCGTGCCCTATTATAATCTGAGCCTTTTTTTTTAAAGGCTAAGATCCGATTCGGTTTACTAAAACTGAGAGAAAAAAAATTATCGGCCTTTATTGCCGACAACAAAATCTGGCCTTCATTGCTATCTAAGATAGTCTTTATTACTATCATCATGTCAGAAATCAATTCCTCCCAAAGTATTGACCAAACGGAAGAGTCGATGGTGCACAAAGGGCGAGGTGACCTTCAAAGCATTCAACCTTCCTATCGTCTAAATGGGAAGAACTACCTGAAGTGGTCTCAATTTGTGAAGACCTACTTGAAGGGGAAAGGTAAAATACATCATCTCCTTGGAGGAGGACCAAAAGAAGGAGATCCCAAATTTGGGGCATGGGATGAAGCAGACTCTATGATTATGTCATGGATGTGGAATTCCATGACTCCAGAAATTAGTGACACATTTATGTTCCTTTCAACGGCAAAGGACATATGGGATGCTGCCAGACAAACCTACTCCAAAGCTCGTGACGCGGCCCAAATCTTTGAAGTTAAGGTCAAAGTTGGAAGCACAAAGCAGGGGAGTAAGACCGTGACAGAATATGCCACCATTCTACAAAATCTGTGGCAAGAACTTGATCACTATAGGTGCATTGAAACCAGATGTCCGGAGGATACTGCGATCCTAAAGAACTTCATTGAAAAAGATAGAGTTTATGATTTTCTTGCAGGACTTAATGCAGAATTTGACCAAGTTAGAGTTCAAATCCACGGCAAAGAAGAGACACCATCACTCAACGAAACCATTTCTCTCATTCGCGCAGAAGAAAGTCGACGAGGAGTAATGTTAGAACCAAAGACAGTTGAAAGCTCAGCAATGGTGATGAACAAAGAATCGTCATGGAAGGAGAAGGG